GTCATCAATCTTTCCCAAATGGTTGGAGGCTGAACAAAAGTTGTGTAGCAAGGCTGGGTCAAGAAAGACCTCTTGAGAAACAGGTGCACCATCTCCACCTTCAGGGAAGGAAGTATACCTCCTCCCACCAAAAGGAATTAATCACCACTTGGACCCAGCCATGTGCCACCTCCAAGAAGCTTTAATGAGGGGCATAGGACTAGGCCAGGGGTCTCTAACCTTGGCAACTTTAAGACTTGTGGACTTCAACTCTCAGTATTCCTCAGCCAGCAAAGCTGGTCTAGAACATGTAACTAAGCTCACAGTTGCAATAGCTCTATTCATTTCTTCCAAATAAACTGGCTCAAGCTTTTCCCAGATTACAGGGTTCAGATGTGTCTTAGCCAAAATCCAATTCCAAATTAAATTGAGACTTTATCTGACAAATGTGAGAATTTTCTCACAGTGAAAATAGATGGAATAGTTGGAAATAGAGTGTCAGAGAAATATAGAGAAGATAACTGTAAAGAAACCTAGAAGAGACCATGCAAATAAGGACATTTCAATCACAGCAGAGATCAGAATAATTAAAGCATAGTCTTTCTAATAGTAATTGATTGTTGTGAAAACTGGGCACTGGGAAAGACTGAAAAATATACATATATAAATATACACCTTGGATTTATGGACCTGGAGGTCATTACAAAGAGTACCAGGGTCTGCAAGAAGAAACAGTCAATCAGTTCTGGATCAAACAAAGGCTAATTGCTTCCTTGAGACAAGAATCAGCAAGAAGAAACTTAAATACTTTGATGTAAGTGCATGATGGATTAAAAAGAATTATTGTACTTGGCAAGAAACGCAAAAAGGAAAGTCAATGGATACAGTGATAGTAGTGATCAAATAAATCCTTGGAAAGTCCCTGCAAGAGCAATATAATTGTCAGAACAAGTTTATGAACTTTTGCTCATAAGGTTGCCATAAGGTCACCCTTTATCATATATCAACTGGAAATCTTGGTAGACCTTCTGTGCTTTATTTTCCACACTTTTGCACTATCATTAAGCTACATATGAAGTGAAATCTTGAATAATTAGCAATATTTTTATGAGATGAACTGATGGTATCAGTTCAAACTTGAAACAAATGGCTAGCTCACAGCTGATAAAAGGAAGAATTTGCTTGCTGTTCTTTTTTCCACTTTTGTAATATATGCACTAATAGGAAATAATAAAGACAAGCTGCTTCCTATCCAGATATTTAGGGGGTGGAAGACTGGGAACTGCTCTGTGTGGTTATGTAAAACTGAAAAATACAGCAGTAATTTTTCCAGATCACTTTCCACTGCTGAATACAAAGTCAAGTGCTCAACAAACTAAGTAAAAGAGAAATTATATTTTTGATAACAATGTTATTGGCATTATTATATTTTACAATGCATGTTGATTAATACTCAAAGACCCAATATTTAACAATGTAGATCCATATAGGCCTAGATATGTGCTAACTTTTAATATTTCTTGCTCTGAAGCATAAAGGCAGATGTGGCTTTGCTTATGCATTTTCACAATTTAAGAGAAATCCATAATACATGTTTAAGAAGAGATAATGCTTCCCTACGTACATGCAACTAATGATTTCATGGAAAACAGCAAATAGAATCATCCAAAATATTCCTTTCACAAAGGACTTATTGTAACTCATCCAGTAAAAGCCATATTTTTCTGAGTATAAGACACATTCCCCCCCCCCAAAAGAGGCTGAAAATTTGTGTGCATCTTATACTCCAAACGTAGCCCCACCCACCTGCTGGCACCCACCCTTCAGCCTCCGAGTGTCCTCTTTCTGGTTGCAGAGATTGCCACAGACAATGGCTTGCATTTTTGGGCTCTGGGCCTCACGTTTTCAGCCTCCAAACTCTCCATTTGAGACCCGTTCAAGGCTGCTGGGATTGCCAGAGCACATCGCCGCCAATCTGCGTTGTGGTTTTGGGCGGTGATCAGAGCATTTGGAAGCTGAAAACGCAAGATGCAGAGCCCAAAATGGCAACCTGGAACAGGTGCTGCCTTCTCTTACCTCTTCCGCACTTTGCCTGCTTTATTAATTGCAGCTCCCTGTGATGATCAGCTGTGCTTTAGAAGTTGCTTTTCAGCCCCAATGAGGCACATATGCCCGTGTTCACAATCAGTGAAGTAATGAAGTTGAAGCTGTGCTGAAGGACGCTAGCCAGATGAATACCTGTAGATAGAATCCCCCCCCCCGTATTTTCCTCCCAAAAACTAAGGTGCTTCTTATACTCTGAAAAATACAGTAAATGGTAAATCTAAAGAAGCAGTTTTATACAAAAGGAAAAGAGAAGCCAATTTACCCTGAAAGCAAATTAGATAATATATTTTAAGTGATGACTTCTCAGTATTTGTGTTATCTACAAATATCTTTATGAGTGTTTTTATTACCAATAACATGCAGTTAACAACTGAATGCATTTATTCCTGACATGCAAACTTAATTTCAATACTTATATTACTAAAGCAGCCCCATGTTCCAAACAAGTTGCCCACAAAGAGACAAACAGTGGTCACTGCCAGGGTTTAGAGCTCTCAAAGTTGAGGAAAAGTCACCTTGGCTCAAATCATGAGTTTGGAGACTTCAAATGTATACTGGGTTCACTCACTTTCTTTCCTAATCACTTTACAAACTTGCTTCTTAAGTGCTTTTAGATACTAAGAACATTGGACACAACAAGTTTCATTATACTAGAGGATTCTCCTTCAATCCTCAGCAAAAAAAAAAAGTTTAATATGTTAAGTTTTAAGAATTTAAAAAACCTGAAGCAAAAGGGACATTAGAATGGTGTTGTGGAAAGTTATAAATGGACTAATGAGCCAACTGGATCTGAAATAACATTTTGAAATTAATTATTAGAATATTTCTTATGGGTTGCTTAAAACTCTGTTAAAAAGATACAGTACAACACTTTGAATCTAAGTGTAAAAAATCTTTTGATGGAAAAAATATTATGGGTTAGATAAAAACATGATAAGAGAAGACTTTGAAGGCTGCACACTAGAGGCAATTAGAAAGAACTAAAAAAAGAAACCCACTAGTACAGAATGGAGAACTTATTTAAGTTTGGAAGAATTCAAGGATATTTGGGGAAATAACACTAGGAAATTTCTCTTAAAAGAAGAAGAAGAAGAAGATACTGTTGGAGAATCAGGCTATTTTGGATTTGGATTTTAAATAAATAAAGATTCTTAATATGTTCTTGGTAACTGTTAATGGATTTTTATTGACTGGGTCTGACTGATAAGGTTTTGAAGATTTGTTTATAGATAAAAGATACAGGAAGAAGAGAGTGTTTTGTATTTTTAAAGAAAAAGATAATACTGTTAAAAGTAAAGGAATATGAAACTGATCTATTTGATTATATATTAACATGTTTCTTGTTATTTCTGGTAACTTTTAGGGACTTTTGCTAACTAGGACTGAATTATGAGTGTCTATAATTTGTTCATAGATAAGAGATGAGATAACATGGGGAAAATGTTATTTTGTATAAATGATAGGGATGGTGATAACAAATTGTACTTGACTTAATGAAGAAGCAAGTAAGTACCTAATCTAAGACAGGAATGTAAGATAATAGGGTGAAACATATATGGCAGAAGTATATGTGAAAATGATCTACCTGGTTTGGAGTATCACAATTGAATATGAATCAGGTGTATTATGCAGGAGAAGAGAGGAAATGGAAAGGGAGGGGAGGAGTGGAGAAAAGAGGAGAGGACTGATTCTAAACTACATCACTCAAAGTACAATGTTCAGATGAAGAAAAGTCTTTATTCCTTCTACTCTTAGTTGGTCAGACTGTACTTAGAATAGTGTGCTCAGTTCTGAGCACTATATATTATGAAACCCACTAATAATCTGAACTCTGGTTAGAGAACAACCAAGTTGATGAAAGGAGGGAAAACAAAAAATCAATTGGAGTTTTGGAAGTCCCTCTAAAGAAAACCACAGGAAGACATGATATCTGAAGAAATGAACATCTGAACGGCTGTCATTTGGAAAATAACAGAAAATTGTTTGAGTTGTTCCACTTCTATAGGAAGAAACTGTGCTCTTGCCAACAAATCTTGCCTATTATCAGGTCCTATTCAAATCAACCTATTATAAATAGCTACAAAAAGGAACTTTTGTAGTCAGTCACCTATTATCCTTACTAAATCCTATTGTCACCGCAGGCTTTGTGCTGAGGCTGTCTCCTCTGTAAAAAGGGATTCCACACCCAATCTGAATGGTTTTAACTTCTATCTGTTTGTCAACATATCTAAATGTTAGATGCAAGAAAAACAGTTTTTCCTTTTCTTAGCAGGCATCTTCTAACATGGTTACAACATCATTCGTTTCAACAACTAAGTTCTAAGACAGCCTTATTGATTTCAAAGTGAAAGCCTAATCTACAAATAGTGGCTGCCCTGATTTTCATTAGCCATCCAAATGGTGGTAATCATAGTCATATACTGATTCAAGCAGGAGTAGCAAAAAAGGCAAAAGTAACCACATCTCACTGACTACATTGCCACTATGATGTTGTTTTATCCAATGTTCTCACATGCACCAATCCAGCTGAACCAGTTTTCTAGTGTTCTTTCTTCTCTATCTCACTTGACTGTCTCCTTATAGACACTAACCTCCAGTTATCTTTGACATAGATTTATCCCATCCTTTCACAAGAAGTCATATCACACTATAGGAAAGATGACAGATATGACATCTTAATCCAACCCACAATTTAGATACGTTTTCCAAAACATACCTTCTATTTTGCACTCATACAACACCCACGCATACAACACCCACACCAAAAAAAAAGTATATAGTGATTGTGACCAGGAAGGAAGTATCAAGAGTTAAACAATCATAAGTGAAAATACCACTGTTTGAAAGCTATGAAAATGGGATTATTACAAAAAGTCATGGGGGAAAAAATCAGTATAATACTAGACAAAACTTACGGATTTCTTCAACAATATCTGGATCACATTCTTTGTATTTATCTACTTCTGTCTTTAGATGGTCTTTCTTCTGTTGTAAGGTACTAAGTTCCTTTATTAGTGCTGCACGTTCTGCCTGAATACATTTAATTTGGGAGAATCCAAAATAAAAAAATCATCATTATCATTAAAATGTATCACGTTTTCTGGTCACTGTGCATACAGATAATCCAATAACTTTCAAATGTAGTAGATAAAACTGGTGCATTCTAACATTTTTTTTTCTATAACACACAAACACAATATAATTATGACAGTAATACAGTGAGACAGAATTTTTATTTTATTCATTCAGCATATGTAAATTTAGTTTAAATAAAGTGTCATTTTATAATTAATATACGGACAATACAGTACAGGAGATAATATGTTAAGTTAAAATAAAACTAGAATAAATTCACTGTAATATGTAGCCATGGAATTTTAATGGGATAAATGTTATAATTCGATATCTAAGGTAGCTAACCATCTAACTGCTTCTGGTGGGGCTGCAGAGAGGTCATCCCAGGTACTTTATAATTTCCTGAGGGGACATTCTTGAACTATGAAATATTTGAAGGGGTATGAAATAGAGACTACCTTCACAATGGTATACCTCGGGCAATGTACTGTCTTAACAGGGCAGCTAAAAGTCTAGTATAAACCTGGCAAATGAACTAGATTTTGCATCTCTTACAGTCAAAAATTAGGGAGGCAACAATTAGATAGGATTTATACTGTTATATCTGTTAAATATTGTATTTTTCGGAGTATAAGACGCACCTTTTTCCCCTCAAAAAAAGAGGCTGAAAGGCTGGGTGCGTCTTATATACTGAATACAGCATTTTTTGCCTCCCGAAACCCCTCCCCCTTCACCAAAATGGCTGTACATAGCTTTTAAGAAGCTCTCAGAGAGCTCCTGGGGGCTTGGGAGTGCAGAAATGAGCAAAAAATGGGCTGTTTTTGCTCGCCCCCCCCCCCCGGAGTACTCTACAAGCCTCCTGAGGGTTATTCATGCCCTTTAAAAAAAAAAAAAACGGGCCAGTTTTTGGGAGGTTTGCAGAGTGCAAAACCTTTT